AAACCTTAGATCCCACAGTTCCCCTTCCAGCATCGTTGGCAATCTGTGGCAAGTTGTGAACTCCAAAGGGCTTGCTTGGCTCTGCCCCTATGGCACTTCTGGTGGCTTCTCTCTTGGGCTAGCTGTGCTCCCTCCTTGCAGTTTTCCTCAGACAATCCATGTTTCTAGCTCTGCTAAACTTCTGGGGTCTCCACTGTACCTTCAGCTTCACACCCACAGCTTCACACACTGCTCTCTCAGGGCACCTGCCTGGCCGCCCAGGCCTTCTTCTGACATCTGGGTGGACACCTGCCTGACCCCATAACTGTTGCATTCTGCATGCATCTAAAAGCAGTACCATGTGGATGACACCATGGTCTGCTGCCAGCTGGAGCAGTAGCCAGGCTTCCTTCTGTCTTGGCTTTAGGGGTCCAGTGCCTGTGAACCAAATCCAGAACAATTTCCCTAGGCTATCACTCTTCTTGAACATGGTGCTCCAGGGCTTTCTTCTCAAGGAAGTCTTTCACTTTTGCAATTTTGAGGCTGCAAAGGGTGGAGTCTTGTTGCTTCTTGTGATGCCCTCGGGCCATCTTTTCTACTGTGATGGTGGTACTTTCCCAGAGTTACTGCCCAGCTCCTTTATTTTATTTTGAGACAGAGTCTTGCTAAATTACTCAGTTGCCCAGGCTGGGTTCGGAATTGGGATTCTCCTGCCTCAGCTGTGCACAGTGCTAGGATGCACCACCATGCCTGGCTAAGAGGGTCTTTACTATCAATTCCAAAATGTATAAAAGCAACATTCAAAGTCTCCCTTATTATGACAACTATAAAGAATATGAACATATTCATAGCATCAGTAACATTATAGCAGTTGTCTCTGTGCACAGGGGAAAGAGGGAGGGAGAGAGGCGGGGGGGGAACAATACCAATTTTATAAAATTTGTATCACTTTTTAGTATAAAGTATTTATATTCAATTTAATTTTACTTATACTATAAACAATCCAATTTACCAGCATCTGAAATGAAAATAAATGTTAGTGAATTTAACACACAACAAAAAAAGGCTGAAGTGAAAAATGAAAACTGTTGATAAGGGTTCCTTCCACCCAGGATTTACAAAGTATTTTATGAGATGTCAGTCATTATTTTAACCATATGCCATAATTTTACACTGTATTAGCTGACTTTTTGCTGTAAGGAAATTAGAAGTCTTCTATCTTCTCTCACTTCTTTTCTCACATCCAATTTATTATACTGTAAGTTTGCCCAGGTTTACAACATTTACATTTATTGTATAATTGTGATTACCATGCTTACTTATAATTACTACTTCATTTAGACATCAGTGTTTGTCATGAGGTTTGCACACTGCTTCTCCAAATTCCTCATTTGGAATCATTAAGTTGTATGTTCATATTCAATAGGACCCATAGCTTTCTACTCTTTGCTGTTGTTAAAGGGATCTGTCTCATGCCTTTATGTTAAATGCCACTTGGCTAGGTATAATGCTCGACTTGTTTTGCTTTCTTTTCCCTAGACCTCACTGTTCATTTATATTTTGGCATTGAGTATCATTGCAATGGTGTCTGAGGCCAGCCTGAACCTCTCCTTCCTCCCCCTGACTTGGGGGATGGCCTAACTTTTACACATAAAATTTTAATTACTGAAATTCAAAACCTTTATCAGGTTTATCAGGGTAGGGCCTGGTGTTGAAAAGCTCCATGCTAATTGCTCCTGAAGCAGTATACTCTTTCAACATGTAAATTCAGTTCTTCCTTTACTGTAAGGAAGTTTCTATAGGATACATTTGAATCCTTCCTATTTCATTTCATTTCTTAATCTGGGATTCAACAGCAGAACACCTTTGTTCCAATATCCATTGCCACGTCTGAATTTTCTTTCATCTTTTTCTTCTGCATTCATTGCAACAATCTCACTGCATTGTCTTTTCTGTATGTTACAGAACCTCCCTTTGTCTCTCTTTCCAAAATTCCGGGATCTCCACTGCACTGGTCTAGGGCTAGGGAGATGTTTATCTGGTTTCCAGTGCAACTTGATGTCCTTAAAGATATTTAAAAACATGCTCTATCTTTGCTGTGTGTGGGGAAAGAAAGCAAAAGGAAGAAAGGAGGGTCCATTGTCTTTCATGCCTCAGCCTGTTCAGAATTCTAAATTTTAAAAGTTGCTCTGTATTTATCTAATTTCTTGTTCTAATGAATATATAAACATGTCTGAGGGTTTTATTTCTTTTTGTTTCTTTTGCCTTTGGATTTCCCAGATGCAGCTTCTTCTCTTTCTCCTTCTCCTCCTTCTCCTTCTTCTTCCTCCCCCTCCCCCTCCCTCCCTCCTTCCTC